GTAGTTACCCAATAATTAGGCTATTATGCGAAACCGTCTTTGCCATGTTCACGGGGAGGCCATTCACCCCTCGCTCTGTGTCTGCCCCATTAAATCCTAAGGGAGAAAATTCTTTCTGCTCTTAGCACCAGGATCAGTTATACTCACTGGCAACCGGTTTATTTTTATTTTAGGATGGTGAGAGTTTTTCCCTCCCTGTATTAACTCACTGTGTTTCCCCCCTTTTATTGGTTGCTAGACAACTGAAAGCGAAAGTCGAGGCCACCTGTCCAAGTCAGCAGGACTCCGCACCACACGTTTTCTATAATAATAATAAGCACTAGAAATAATTATTGCCAACGGTTACCGAGTACTTTGCGCTAAGCACTTTCCATGTGTTATATTTCATTTAATATTCATAATAATCCGAACATACGAGAACTTTTATTTTTCCATCTTCACCAGTGAGGAAACTGGAGCTTAGAGGGGTTGCCTGACTCACCCAAGGCCACTGAGTGGGTCGGTGGCAGAATTCCAACTCAACTGCGGTCTTGCCGGCATCACAGAGCAGGCTTCTGGCTGTTCCATTATTCCACCTCTCGGCCCACCTTAGGTTTCTGCCACTTTGCCTCTCTGCTTCCTTTTACTAAAGAAATGAAGATAATGGACCAGGGCTCTTTGGGAAAACATCAAGAGCTCTTCTAATTCTTCCAAAAGGCCATGTCTGGGCCCCGACGGCCCCGTCTGTGGCTCGAGCTGCCCAGCTCAGAGAGGGTAGTAAGTAGGAGGCAAAGTTTTCTGCACCAGTGTTCGACATACTTTTAAGAGTTGGGGAGAGGTGATCACGGGCGGCTCTGTGGTTCAGTAAAGGAGGCACCTGGGAAGGTGTCCTGATGTCCTGAGGCTGGGCGTTGCTGCTGCTCAACGCCAGGCTGGGCTGCGGTGTTGAACTGCGCAGTCTGTCCACAAAGACGCTTGCCCGGGGGTGCATGTGGCCTGAATCCAGCCTGTGCTGCTTGCTCGTGTTTTCAAATTCTTCACAGATACTAGTTTTTGAGATTCAGAAATACGAAATCAGAATTCCTAGGAATTTTCAGGAATTCCTAAAATTCTAATTTATTTTGTGTTTTTCCCTAACATTTTATTCACGTTTTTAAATAATAATGAGTGACCAAAATAAAAGTGAATCATTTCCATACTAATAAACAGTGATCGTTTTTTGCGTGGTAGAGTTATGCTATAAATTTCAGAGATTTTCTGTAAAAAAAAACTATATAATGGTTTATTATTATTATGAGCCAGAATACGTGAGACAATGACATATTTCAATGACATGTAAAAATGATCTCCACCTGACAAAGACATTTCATAATAGGAAACACTAAATGTAGGGAATGTTAACACAAAATAAATTATAAATAAGAGCCATTTTAAAAATGGAATGATGATATAATAGTAATTAATACCTATAAAATATTCTTGAGATGAAATTTTAAAACACGCAAAACATTAATTGTCCTATCCAATAGTCTCGATGTTTGTTTCATGACAAATAATCCAGATTAAAAAAAAATATTTTTCATTTTGCATTGATGTTGGTCAAATCATTAAGAACGTTCCAAAAGGATCACCAAGTTTAACATTTGAGTTTCCTTCATACAAGCTCATGTCCTCTTTTAAATACGAACATATTTTATATTATTTATTTATTTTATTTTTTATTGACAAAGAATAATTGTATATATTATATATTAATGGGGCACAATGTGATGTTTTGATATATGGTTACATTGTGAAATGATTAAATCAAGCTAATTAACAAATCCATCACTTCACATACTATTTTTTTGTTTGTTTGGTGAAAACTCTTAAAATCTCTTTTAGCAATTTTGAAAAATACATTATTATCACAGTCACATTCTGTGCAATATATGGCTAAAGCTCACTCCTCTTATGCAACTGGAATTTCGTGCCCTATGATCAATACCTCTTCTCTCTCCACCCACTCCCCTCCCCCAGCCTCTGGGAACCACCATTCTACTCCACTTCTATGAGTTCAACTTTTTCAGATTCCAAATATAAGTCATACAAGCAGTACTTGTCTTTGTGTGCCTGGCTTATTTCACATAACATCCTCAAGGGTCACCTGTGTCGCAAATGACAGAATTTCCTTTTTTAAGGCTGAATATTATTCCATTATGTATATATACCACATTTCCTTTCTCCATTCACCCAGTGATGGACACCCAGATTGCTATTGTAATCTCAGCTATTGTGAATAGCGCTACAGCAAACATGGGAGTATTGGATATACACCCAGAAGCAGGATTGCTGGATCATATGGTTGTTCTATTTTTAGTTTTCTGAGGAACCTCCATACTGTTTTCTCTAGTGACTGTATTAGCTTACATTCCCATCAACCATGCACAGGGTTCCCTTTTTCATACCCTTTCCAATACTATTTTTCAACTTTTTGATAATAGTCATTCTAACAGGTGTGAGGTGATATTTCACTGCGGTTTTAATTGGCATTTCTCTGATGATTAGTGATGATAAGCATTTTCTCATATACCCGTTGGCCATTTGTATGTCTTCTTTTGAAAAATGTGCACTTAAGTCCCTTGCCCATTTTTAAATCCGGTTCTTTGTTTTCTTGCTATTGGGTTGTTTGAGTTCCTTGTATATTTTGGATATTAGCCCCCTTATCAGATGTATGGCTTGCAAATATTTTCTCTCAATCCCTGGGTTGTCCTCTTCACTCTATTAGTTGTTTCCTTTGCTGTGCAGAAGATTTTGAGTTTGGTGTCATCTCATTTGTTTCTTTTTGCTTTTTCTTGCCTGTGCTTTTGGAGTCATATCCAAAAAATCTCTGCCCAGACCAATGTCCTGGAGCATTTCCCCTAGGTTTTCTTCTAGTAGTTTTATAGTTTCAGGTCTTATGTTTAAGTCTTTAATCCATTTTGAGTTGATTTTTGCATATGGTGTGAGATAAGTATCCAACTTCATTCTTTTGCATGTGGACATTCAGTTTTCCCGGCACCATTTATCGAAGAGTTTACCCTTTCTCCATTGTGTGTTCTTGGCTCCTTTGTCAAAAATCAATTGACTTTAAATGCTTGTGTTTATTTCTGGGCTCTCTATTCTGTTTCATGAGTTAATGTGTCTGTTTTTGTGCCATTACCATTCTGTTTTGATTAATATAGGTTTGTAATAGATTTTGAAGTCAGGAATAAATATAAAAATATTTTACCTGTTTTGCTTGATTTTGGTTTGGCCATTGAAATCTATACTTTTACTAATTCAGATTTAAATCAGTTACTGGTTTCATGATGGAGGGTTATACAACCCACGTTCGCATTTTCTTCTCTTTGCATTTCTTCTATTACTCACAAAGAACAAATGATAGATCATATAGTGAATATACAAACACTGATAAATGCCCACAGACATTATTGGGTATATCCAAGTAATGTGACATTCAGATTTCCTAGCAAGCTTGACAAGCCTACATAAATCACATGTCGAAATTATAATCACAGGTATAAATTTCAAATGTAAGGACTTAATATACTTGCAAAATTTCTTATTTCTTGGATCACCACTAATAGGATTTGTATAAAGTATACTATGCATATAAACTCATTAATATTTATTTTTGAAAGAATGGCTGACCAATAGCAGCAGACACACATTTATAGCATAGCAAGAGCTATAAATAAAGGCTGGCTGATCAGATTGTGTCCACTTTTCTCCTGCTTGTTCCCATCTTGGTGCCCAGAAATGCCCACCTTTACCTTCAACTCTGCCACCAGCATTTTCTGCTCTTGTTTTCCACAATGCCAGTGGAATCCATTGAATTATTAATAGTAACGTATCTGTGATGATTATCAATATTTATTTCTCAAAGGAGAATTAGAATACTTTTTCCCATTTCCCAATTTTTCTTGGGATTCAGGAAAACATTATTTTTTTCTGAGAAATGCTGGGAATTCCGATTAATGTCATGTCCATTAGAGGAAGGGAGCATGTTTTCCTTGCAGGACAAGCATCGTCAGCACTTTAGTGTCTACAAGACTGTGCCTGTGCAGAGGGCCTATGTCTAATTCACAGAAATGTGTATTCAGGCTATTTCACATGCTACCTTGAGGTCACCTCAAAAGCATGGAAGAGTAACCTTAAGCACTCACATAAATACCTTTAAATATGCAAAGCCACTAGCAAATGCCCTTGGTTGATTTGAACAGCCATGGAAAAGCAAGAGGAAAACAAGAGTCAAAATGCTTTTTTCGCAGGTACTTCTGGACTTCGGCTTTCAACAAGGCCTGGATATCATCAATATCTGCCATCTGATATCAGAAACGAATATTAATCTGGGATTTGGCAAGACATTTTCCTTGCCCTACCCCCAATTCAAGGACTTAAACACATTATATGGGCCAGTTATCATGTAAAATATTTTCATACATGTTATCTGACTTAAGACAGAAACAGAAATGGCTGAATACATATTAGAAATGCCTACAACATATCAGATACCACACTACATGTTTCAAATGTGTTTTCTCACATCTTAAAATAATCCTATACAACAGTATCATTACTTTCATTCCATGGATTCAGAAAACTAAGCCTCCAAACCATAACTTTTCAATAGCTACATTGAGAATAAGAGATACAGCCAAAAATTTTACCTAAGTCCAGCTTCAAAAATCCATGCTCTTTCTATCACACCATACTGCAAATCATAAAATGATGGCAAGTCACAATATCTGGTGTCTGTCTTGCCCAGGCCCACTCCCCAGCCAAGAGAGAAGGCTGGTACCAGGCAGCCTGACTGTTCTATGAGGACTAATTTTGCATCCTCAGGGAAATAAGACCTTCCCCTGTACACACTTTAACAACAGGAATGCTTACTACCCTTCTTTGAAAGAAACATATAGTAAACTTGGAAGCAGAATATATATTTATGGGAAAGTATTTAAAATGAACATTGCAAACATAGCAAAAAAAGTCTTTCTTACCTTTAAATATTTCACCAGCTTCTGAATTTGCCAATATTCCGATGGCAGATCTGCATTTGCTTCCTGACGATGTTCAGGTGTTTCTTCATTTTCCTCACTCTCTGAGGAGCTGTCACTAATTTCCTCAATCCTTTCAACACTTTTGCTAAGAATAATAACAACAACAGTGAATGTATGAGGGCTGTCTGGAAAGTATCCAGCCATGTAATGTGAGAAGTTATATTAACAATGGCTGGATACTTTCCGGACAGCCCTTATATACATACAAGCTATAGCACAGAGATGTAGCTTATATGTATAATAAAAATCTTCAAAGCAGCTGGAAAAAATGATGTATTATCTATAAGGGAAAAATAATTCAAATAACAGCAACTTCTCATCAGATACTGTGAAGGCCAACCCCCTCAAGTACGGGGCGGGGGGGAAATCCAGAATTCTATACCAAGCAAAAATATCCAAATATCCTTTAGGAATAGGGAGAAATCAAGACATTCTCAGGTGAAGGAAAACTGAGAATTTGTCACCAATAGACCTACCCTAAAAGAATGGCTTTAAGAAATTATATAAATAGAAAAGAAATTATGAAAGGATTCTGGAACATCAGGGAGGAAAAAAGAGCAATGAAAAGAACAAAAAAACAGATAAATCATGCTTGATGGTTGAAGCAAAAATTATGACACTCCATAATGTGCTTCTCAATGTACATAGAGGAAATATTTAATACAATTATATTGTAAATGGGGGAGGATAAAGGAACATAAAAGAAGATAAGGTTTCTGTACTTCATTCAAATTGGCAAAAGTCAACACTAGTAAACTGTAATAAGTCACATATATATAATATAATACCTGGAGCAAACACCAATGGACTTCTAGACAGTGGACTTCCACAGACAGACAGGAAAAAGAAAACAGAAAAATGAAAAACTGAAGGGACAAACAGAAAACTACATAAAATGGCAGACTTAGCCCTAACATGTCAGTAATGACATTAAAGGTAAATTATCTAAATACACCCATTAAGAGACCAAGTTTGAGTTAGTGGATTAAAAACAAGAAAAAAGAAGCCAACTATATATATCATCTCCAAGAAACTCAATTCCAATATAAGGATATGAGTAGCCTGAAAGCAAAAGGAGGAAAAAAGATATATCATACAAACATTAATCAAAAGAAAGCAAAAGTGGCTGTATTAATATCAGATTAAAGAAACTTCAGAAAAAAAGAAAATCACCAAATTACCCGGGATACAGGGGACATTACTTAACAATAAAAGGTTAATCCACCAGGGAGACATAGCAATCCTTAATATATGTACACCAAACAACAGAGCTGCAAAATACGTGAAGCAAAAACGGAACTAAAAAGGGAAATAGAAAAAAATCTACGATTATAGTCAAAGACTTCAACGGCCCCCCTCAACAATTGCTAGAATAACTAGAAAGAAAATAAGCAAGGATATAGAAGAAATCAACACCATCAAACAACAGGATTTAATCCACATGTGTAGGGGACTCCAGCCAACAGCAGCAGAACACATAAACACCTTTTCAAGCACCCAAAGAACCTCTACCAAGATATGCTGATCCACACAAAACAACAACTTGAAAAGAATTGAAATTATACAGCGTATGTTCAATGATCACAATGGAATCAAACTAAAAATCAAGAAGAGAAACGTAACAGGAAAATCTCTAAACACCTGGAAACTAAACAACGCACTTCTAAATAATCAAAGAGTCAAAGAGAAAGTCTCAAGGGGAATGAAAATGCATTGAACTGAATGCAAATGAAAATGCAACATATCAAAATTTGTACTTGTACTCAGCTAGAGCAGTGCAGACATATATAGCGCTAAATGCTCACATTAGAAAAGTCTCAATTCAGTAACCTAAAGAAACTAGGAACTAATTTTAAAAAAGAAAAGCAAAATAAATCCAAAGCAAACAGAGGAAGAGGAATAATAAAGATAAGAGCAGAAATCAATAAAATTGAAAGCAGAAAAAGTTCCTAAAAATGAATTTTTCAAAAGCCCCTTCTTGAAAAGACCAATATAATTGACAAACCTTTACCAAGATTGACCCCCACACACATAAAAAAAGACACAAATGACCAATATCAGGAATGAAACATGACATATGTCACTACAGATCTTGCAGATAACAAAAGGACAATAAAGAAAACCAAAGAACAACTGTACATACATAAATTTGACAACTTAGATAAAATGGACCAATCCTTTTAAAAGTACAAACTGACACAACTTCCTCAATATGGAACAGATCATTTTGAACCACTCTACAACTCTGAATGTAATTCAATTCATAATTTTAAGACTCAAAACAGAAATTTCCAAGCCCAGATGGTGTCATTGCAGAATTATACAAAACCTAGAACTAACACCAATTCTATACAATTTTGTTCTAGAAAATTGAAAATGTGTGAATAGCAGTAAGTTCATGAAAAGATGTTTGACATCACTAGCCATCAGTTCAACATCACTAGCTAACATCAAAAGATGCTCAGTATCATAGCTAAATGCAAAGACCACGATGAGCTATCACTACACATCTTTTAGAATAGCTAAAATAAAAAATAGCAACAATACCAAATGCTGGCAAAGATAAGGAGAAAATGAATCTCTCATGCATCGCTGGTGGGGTTGTAAAATGGTACAGCCATTCTGGAAAAGCTTGGTAGTTTCTTAAAAAGCTGAACATACAATTACCACGTGTTTCAGGAATTGGGCATTTATTCTAGAGAAATGAAAACTTAAACCTATACAAAAACCTATACACAATTGTTCATAGCACCTTTATTTGTAATGGCCAAAAACTGCAAACAGCTAAAATGTCCCTCAATAGGTCAAGGACTAAACACACTGTGGTACGTCGATACCATAAAATGCTGCTCAGCAATAAAAAAGAACAAACTATTGAGACATGCAACAACTTGAATGGATCTCAAAGAGTATTACGGTGATGAAAAAAGGCCAATATCAAAAATGTATTATTTTATTTATATGACATTCTTGAAATGACAAAATTATAGAAACGTAAAAGAGTAGTGGATTACACAAATCTACATGGGATGAAAGACATACACACTGCACCAATGTTAATCTCCTGGCTTTGACACTGTGCTATACAGTTATGTAATATGTAACCACTGGGGAACCTGGGCCAGGGACATGTGAGACCTCTATTATCTATGAAACTTCCTGTGACTCTACAATTATTTCAAAATAAAAAGTTAAAAAATTTGTTTAACAAAATGAATATTTTATTATGGTGAACCAAAAGAGTAAAAACACCATAAATGTAGTACAGTGAACTTGTGTTTCTTCCAAGTATACAAACTTTATAATATGGGATTTCTGCCATTTCTCCCCCACCACCACTCTGAAACTCTCTAATAAAAGTGGCTGGCCTCCTCCAGATACGTCACTGTTGTCATCAAATGCCCATACATTTTTAATTTCCAAACTCGCTCTTTCAAATAGAGTCACGAAGGTCAAACACCCCTTTTTGAAAATCGGGCAAGAAGTTTACTAGTTGGCCTTGTAATGATCACTAATTGTTTTAATTAGAAACAACATATATCACTTTAGAATTGGCAGAGACATCGGTGACCAGAAAAGAGAGGCCCAGGCAGATGACATAACTTTGCCAGGACGTGATTGTTGACAGGCAAGAGACAAGTCAGGAGCCCAACGTTCCTGACACTCCGTTTGCTGCTCTTGCATTAAATATATTTCTTTTCCTAGAGTCAACCAATACCAGTAAATCACTGTGTTTCAAGTAACTCTGCACTAGAAGGCTATCCTGGCCGGGCGTAGTGGCTCACACCTATAATCCTAGCACTCTGGGAGGCCGAGACAGGAGGATTGCTTGAGCTCAGGGGTTCAAGACCAGCCTGAGCAAGAGTGAGATCCCATTTCTACTAAAAATAGAAAGAAATTAGCTGGGCAACTAAAAATATATAGAATAAATTAGCCGGGCATGGTGGCGCATGCCTGTAGTCCCAGCTACTCGGGAGGCTGAGGCAGGAGGATCGCTTGAGCCCAGGATTCTGAGGTTGCTGTGAGCTAGGCTGACGCCACGGCACTCACTCTAGCCTGGGCAACAGAACCAGACGCTGTCTTTAAAAAAAAAAAAAGAAAGAAGGCTATCTTATAAATATATTTAAAGAAATCCAGTATTTTCTTTTTCACTAACATTCCTAGTAAATGTCAACGTAAGTACCGTAGGGCCCCGATGTGAGGACAGTGAGAAGGCCGTTAATTAGTCCGCTCGCCAGCCCGTCTGTGAAGGTGGCTTTCGGGAGTGGTTGCGCCAACCAGAAACGTACCGAAGTAGTTGCGCTCTTCCAGGTGGGGCAGATGACTTTCTTCTGCTTTCAAGCTTGCCTCCACGTTTCTCCTCTTGGCTGTCTTTTCCTGAGCTTTTGCGGCTAAAAAAAACCAAAACAAAAAACTGGGTTTATAATTTTATGCTGATGAGCAGGAAATAAAAGCTGGAGATGTATACGCATGGTCCATATTTTCACGTACCCAAACGATGTGTGTTCCTGACCCAGCGAAGGACTGAGTGCCAGCCTCTCCTGACCCCTGGAGCTGTCCCTTCTGTTCCTCAAGCACAGCCACGTGCTCATATACTGAAAAAGCATTTGCCACGTACTTCTCTGTACTAGGTACGGGTCTTCACAGGCTGCCATTGTCACACGAATCCTTCACCCCATGTGTCCTACTCTAGGTGCTTATCGCCCTCTGCTACCATTGCTTCTTTTCTTATCTTCCCCACCCAGCGTTGCCACAGGGCCTACACCTGGTTTTCCAGCTATCCCCAGGCTTAGCACAGTCCTGGGCACCCACCGTTCTCCTTAAGTACTAGTTAAGGAATTTCATAATTGAAAGAATAAGCACATGGGAAAAGCAGTATTTTAAAACTCACTTCCCAGTTAACAGCGTTGCCTGTACATTTTTAATTTTCAGACTGACCCTTTCAAATAGAGTCACAAAGGTCAAACACCCCAAATCAGAGTCAGAGGAGCAAGACTGTCTCTCCCCTTTCCACAGGACCCCTTCCCCTGGTAGTTCTCTGGGTTGGCTTCCAAGACATAATCACCCTACGGATCTCAGAATCTCTGGAGATGAGGGTCCCCGAGTGATCAACCAGAAGTCAGTTCTTAACCCAATCATGTGAAAACACAGGACATTAAATAGAGGCTGAGACTTGTAAGGTATTTGCTGAATTTTAGAAAGTGCTCTAGGTGCTTCTGATTGCCTCCGCTGTTAAGCTGATTGACCCCTAGTCTTTGCTTTGCCACCTGTTTACAGAGGGCCCCACATGGAACTAGTTTTGTGCATTTCATGCATTCATCGAACCAGAGTCCACTTTGCGTGGGCCTGTTAAGGTTTTTGGGACTCCAGCCTTTTTATAGCATTACGGTTCTGTCGATAGACAAGACAGCATCTCCATGATGGTTTCCCAACGAACACCATGTAATATTAACCATTCCATGTTCTCCCTGCACTTCCTCGATCAGGTCCCGACCACTGTGTTTATGTTTCCCATGTGACTTCTGCACGGGTTTTGTCATCGTTTCCAGGTGTCACTTGTCCTGACTCACCAACTACTTGGAAGTGAACTGGGGTCTTCCCCTCACGGTGCTTCAAGCACAAACTCTGCTGCTGTCCAGTCTTTCCACTTGGATGTAAAAAGCAGCAGAAAGGAATCGATTTGCACTTTGAAGGGACATGTTAGTATCTACTCTGTATTTTTCTGCTATAAGATAAAGTTCCGTGAAAACTTGGGCCAATACGTGAGCATCTGCAAACCTATCGAGCGAACGTCCACATACTCTTTGTAATTGACGGTGGCTTTCCAGTTTAAGCTGGGTGCCAATCTCTTGGCCATTTGATTCTTCCCAAAATTGATTTGGTTTTTCTCCAGTGACCTCTTGTCTGAACCAGAAATAGCTTTCTGGAAGGTGCCGGCCTCCTCCTTGGCTGCCTCACCCAGCTGATCCATCTCCTTTTGTTCTTCTTTGAAATCAATCACCTTTATTAAAAAAAAAGAAAGAAATTAAGAATAATTTTTACAATGATATCACTTGTGAAATACCTCTATGTGGCCTTCTAGACAGGTCCTTAGGTGCAGCCTTTTGACAGAATCCAAATTTTACAGAACAAATCCTTTTATTTTTTTTAATACATTTTTGTTCGTGTTTTATATTTTTATTTTATTTTTAAAAATGAATGTATTTAAAATACCAAGAATAAAAAAAATTTCAAAGAAATAATCCTCCCAGACTGCACAATTAGAACGTTAGTAAGCCATAAGGGCTCAATTGATGGCTGCCACACTCATGATTTAGTTCTAACTTCCCCTGCCTGACTGGCGCCACTACTGCACGAGGCTGGTTGGCGAGAGTTTATGGGGGTCGAGTACGCCAGTCTGTCATCAGCTTTTGACAGCGGTGCACTAGGTTTCTGTTTGAAGTGGAATTTGTGAATAGTTGCACAGCTCGACAGTATTTTTTAATTCTGTCTGCTTAACATCCCATCGTGTCAAAGAAGACCAAGAGAACACTGAAGGAAGGAAACAGATTTTTCAATGAGGATTGGGAATTGCAATATTATCTTGTTTCTGCTGAAGATAAGATGATTTGCTTGCTTTGTGATACTGCGATATCAACATTAAAGAAATTCAATACTCATCAGCATTGTAACATTCATAAGGACCACAAATATTTTAAATTAGAGGGAGAGGCACAAAAGGTTGTATCACAGAAATTAAAAGATGCAAAGCAAAAGCAAAGACAGTTCTTTCAGGCAGTGAGAAGACCTGGAAATGATGCCACTGAAGCAACTTATAAAGTAGCTTATATACTAGGGAAAAAAGGGAAGCCATTTAGTGATAGAAATTGTGAAAGAATGCGTTGTCGAAGTTGTAGGATGCTTAGACCCCAATAACGTTTCAAACTAAAAACAACTGCCTCTTTCAAAGAGAACCATAACTGATCGGCAGCATGAATTAGCATGACCTTGGATTTGGCCATGATTTCTTAAATATGATCCCAAAAGCACAGGCAACAAAAGAAAAAACAGATAAATTAGACTTCGTCAAAACTATAAACATTTGTGCACCAAAGGACACTATCAAAAAAGTGAAAAGACAACCCACAGATTAAGAGAAAATATTTGCAAATCCTCCATCTTATGGTGGGTTAATATCCAGAATATATAAAAACCACAACTCAACAACAAAAAAGACAATACAACTTAAAATATGGGCAAAAGACTCAAATAGACATTTCTTCAAAGGAGGTATTCAAATGGCCGGTAAACAAATGAAAATATGCTCAACATTAGTAATCATTATTGAAATGCAAATCCAAGCCACAATGGGATACCCTGTCACGCTTACTAGGATGTCTGTAGTTAAGCAACAACACAGAAAAGAAGTGTTAATTAGGATGTGAAGAGAGTACATTGCTCGTAGGAATGTAAAATGGTGCAGCCACTGTGCAAAAATAGGTTGGCAGTTCCTCCGAAAGTTAAATACAAATTACCATATGACCGAGAAATTCCACTTTCAGGTATATACCAAAAAGAACTGATTTTCAAGCAGACATTATACACCAATATTCATGGCAGCATTATTCACAACAACCAAAAGGTAGAAGCAACCCAACTGTTCCCCAACAGATGAATATGGTGGATACATAAGTGAAATATTACTCAGCCATAAAAAGGAATGAAATTCTGATACTTGCTACAACATGGATGAACCTTGAAAACATCATGCTAAGTGAAAGAAGCCAGACACAAATGGACAAATATCGTATGATATGAAATATCTGAAATCGGCATTAATAGAAACAGAAAGCATATTAGAGTTTATTGACACCTTGGGGGAGAAGGAGTGGGGAGTTATTGCCTACTGGGGGTAGAGCTTTAGTTTGGGGTGATGAAAACGATTTGGAAATAGACGGTAGTGGCAATCGCACAACATCGTGAATGTAATTAATGCCACTGAATCTACCCCGAAAATGGTTGAAATGGCACATTTTATGTTTTCTGTATGTGTTTAACCACAATAAAAAAAAAAAGGAAAATTGAGATCCAGGAATCAGGCGCTCACACACCAAGAAACAAAAGGTCATAGGATGATTACAAAGGGGAGAGCGGGACAGGTGCGGCAGGAGTCTGCCCAGAGAATGGAGCACCCACAAGTGGCAGGGCCAGAAGGGAAATGGATATTTGGTCTGATTGAAACCTGTGGGGCTGACACATTCTTTTTTTCAATTTTATTTCTTTCTTTATTTTTTTATAGACAGGGTCTTGCTCTGTTGCCCAAGCTGGAATGCAGTGGTGCAATCATAGCTCACTACAGCCTCAAACTCCTGGGTTCAAGCAATCCTCCTGCCTCAGCCTCCTAAGTAGCAGGGACTACAAGCGTGCCACCACGCCCAGCTAATTTTTTTTTTAGAGATGGGGTCTCGCTATGTTGCCCAGGCTGGTCTCGAACTCCTGGCCTCAAGTGACCCTCCCGCTTGGCCTCCCGAAGTACTGGGATTACAGATGCGAGCCACGGTGCCCAGTGCCTTCCATGGTCTCGAGAATCACGCTGGGGTTTCATGTATAGCATTAGTATTTCTTACCTAACTTGCACATCCTTTCTTCTCACCATCAGCTTCAACCAAAATTTTATTTCATAAAATATTATGCTGACTGATTTCTTTGTCCAGTACTATTTCAAAGACCATGGAAGACACAAAAGAAGCACAGTTCTTGTGCACACAGAGCTGGTATACTTATTAGGACAATCCGATTAGGCAGTAATCACGGGATGCCCAGACAGGATAAAAGTAAAACATTTAGGCTTCATTAACAGAGACGAGTCTTCTGTTCTTAGTGATATTAATTCAAAAGGGAAGATGAAAAAGTCTTACATAGAAAGCAATTTGAAACAGTATAACTTTTACCGAAAGAAAATCAGAAACATTTTTACAGAACTATATTTACAATATTTATTTTGTGTTATGTATTGAAAAACACTAACAATTAAAAGCAGTGTCCAAAAATAGGTCCAAAGACTCTCTATAATTCTTGTGCTATAAAGTTGTAGCTGAGTAACACGTTACGAAAGTTCTAAAGAGACCATAAAACTTACGTGTTTCGACATATTTTCGGAAAATTTTGCTGATTTTTCTTTTAAAAATGTGACAAGGTCTTTATAAATTTCACCTTTTCTCTCATAATCAATGTCTCCCTCATCATCTGTTTTGCCCTTTGGGAGAAAAAAAGTTTGGTGCTGGGATTAATGTAACAGCAATATGGGGACCTGCTCAGTACATCATGACCTAAGCACATGTATTGCTTTCCTCTCCCAAGGATGCACGTGGTGGAGCTCATACATGAAATGTACAGGCAAAACCCTCCCCCCTTAACTTAGTGTTATCTATTTATTCATTCACTCCCTCATTCCTTCACTCATCCATTCATTCATTCATTCAGCGGTTACTGAGTACCTCCTACACGCGCTGAGGCCACTCGGCTACTCAGCAGAGATGAGCTTCTCTCTGTTCTCCTCTACTGTGACAAGGCATTATGACTTTAGAAGCCTCAGCGGGTGAAGTCACAGAAGGCCTCCGGGTTAGAATGTCCCCATGGAAAAGCCCACGTCTCTGTCTGTCACACTCCGCTCTTGTTCCCTGTCTGCCGTAGGCTCACTTTCCAGGGTCAGGATCTCTGTGAAACCCTCTGTACCTCCGCCCCTCTCTCCCTCTTCCTTCTCGTTCCCTTCCTTTCCTAACGCCCTACCCCTCTTATTAAAGACTCCCTGCCCGCCTCTAGCACATCAGGGAAAATCATTCCTTCTTTTATCGTTCATTTTCTGATTAGAGTTCATTTTTCTAAAATATAAAAACAAACCAAGAGCAAAATCGTATTCAGGTTGCTACCTCGTCTATGCAGACGTGAGCTACGTAGGATGTTAAGAAAAGCACCAGAGGGCGAGTCGCAGAGACGTCCACAGGTAACCAAGGCGCCAGCACGTGGGTGCCAAGCCAAGGCAGGGTGTAGTGACGCTCCAGACAGTTCCCTGCGGTGGCTGAGTCCCCATTAAGGATTTAGGTCCCCTCTATAGGATTCTGCTTGTGAGCCCCAAATGTACGTTGAAGACACTAGGGGCAGGATGGCGTAGAGGGGAAAGCGAAGCTCTTTCTAGCTAGTTCAGTGAACAGGGATGAGACTAGAGAGTGTTTCAATCCGGAAGACTCCGAAGGCTGCGTGCTGTTTATCTCTCTGCTCAAAACTCCCCGCCCGAGGCCTGCTGGGGGCCGCCTGGGCCCGGAGCCTGCAGAGCTGCGATTCCCCTTTGCTGGGGCAAGTTAGGTTCAATCCCGGGAAGCTCAGGGAAGACTGAGAGGGTGGCAGAGGGAGGAGAGACATGCCCCTTCCTTCCTGTGGCCCCTGTCCCTGTCAGAGTCATCCCAGCCGCAGCCCTTCGTTCCCTGGCAGCAGCATTTGCTTCCAGTGGCAACGGCTGGTTCCAATTTCCAGTTTGGATTTTTTTTCATGGTACTGGAACCGGCTCACCACGCCCCCCCCAGAAATGTCATCATCAGCCGACCAGTTCTCCATCTTCAAAGGGCCGGGTCCCAGCTCTGCCAGCTCTGCAAGGACCCTCCTCTGAGCTCCTGGGGGACCAGCCCTAACTGGGCAGCACCTGCTCCCCAGAGGTGAGTCCCTGCTCCATGGAGACTGTCTCAATGCCGAGGGGACAGTCTGGAAGCACAGTCTGCAAGTGGCCTCTGCCCAGAGGTCCCAGTCCCAGCTTCACAGGGCACGTCCTCCAGCTTTCTACGTTTGGATAACCCCCTCTGTGACTTCGACTCTTAGGATGAAAGCTGCAGATATGACTTCTGTGTTATTAATACCTCAATGTTCCTTTCTTGCCTTTTCTTTCCTTAAATACCTGTGTAACTAATCAATGAACTGGTTGTGTTAGAGACGTTTTAGTTTTATTGAGTGGATTGGCCCACTTTGAAGCCTGTTTCCTAGAAGACTGGCTTATTATGACCTGCAATGGGAAATAACGGTTCTAACTCTCAGATGATGTTGGGTTTGCTCAGCAAGCGCGTAGCACAGGAATCTGCTTCTATCCCACAGAACAGTGTTTCGTTCTCTGCGGTCATCGAGATACAACCCTTGCGACGTGCCAGCAGGTACGGAGACCTAGCTGACAACCAGGGTCCACCGGCTTCAGTTACGTTTTTTAAAAAATTACTTACACCATTTAAAAACACTCCTTTTGCACTACAAGTGACACACAGAGTCTCAACGTCATGGGGTTTCACCATCACATAACACATCTCCCCACGAATCTGTCTCCACGGTGGGGCTCTACATCCATTTGAAAATTCATAATCTGAAACCAATCATCAAAAAATGAATGAGTTCCTTAACCTACAGGTTTGTAAAATGTGTTGGCTTCAACACAATAAATACTGTTGAAATTTTGAGGTTTTCAAATTTCTTAAACCTTCGATTCTAATGTAGTCAGTGAAAGCATTTTGAAAATATAATTAAGAAAATGGAAATAACGTAAAATGAATCTGAGAAGATAGAAACCTGAGGTATATTCGATAGATTCCAAGACTGTTTGTTCTCCTTTTCCTGAGAAACGTTTGAGTAGCTCTATATCCTTCTTAACGGACACTGGATTTAAGCGTATTTCTCTGAAATAAATGTTTAAAACTTCAGTTTAAATGCTTTAAGACAGAATACAGAAAACACATGAACACATCCCACTGTATTGGGGAAATATCTTTTTTATAATTAAAATGCAGTTAATTTTAGCCATGTTATAATCTCATAACAACACTGTTAAAACATCAAGGAATTTGTCATTATGTTTAATGTAACATTAAATATTTACTTCATTTCTTAATAATAATACTATAATACTAGAAAATACCAGGAAAATGAACAAGTTTTGGAGTATACAAACTCTACCTGATATTTCCATTATAATTTAATAATTTATGTAATAGTCTTAAGTCTTTGAAACTACTAAGGCCACTTGATAGCTTCAGAATTGAATGAAACCCCACTAGAATGTTTTAGCAATGTCACCTGAAAATTTTAATGTTCAGAAGACAACAAATAAATCCCAATAAAATTAAAATTTTATTCCAATAAAATGTAATGTTAAATTCATAGCAATAACTCCTATACTTTATTTTTCTTGTTTTTTTCAAAAACTCCGAAAGCAACCTTTGTAACTAATTTTTAAAGGTTTCCTTTTTTTTTTAAAGACTCACAATGAAATATGCTTTAGAGAATGATTGAGCAGGTGCAAATCCAGTTGCTTAAGCAGCATTGCAATCTTGATCTTAATCTCAATTTCAGGATCATCATCTTTGGTAATTTTATCAAGAATATTTAATGCAGTTGAGTCTTCTTTCATTGTATTATATTCTGAGCCCAGGATTTTTGCTACAGGGTCTCTATTAGCTAACAAAAAAAGCAAATAAAAATTATCCTCTTGTCTTCTAGTACAACAAACATAAAGACTAACAAATCCTTCAAAGCTCACTCAAATGTGTTTCTTTCATTAAGCTTTCCCTGACTGACCCAGTTAGAATTCGTCTCTACTTCTGAGATTCCATCGTACTTAGCACCTTTCTTATAACTCACAGGATGCTCTACTTTGTATTGTAATTCATCTATATGTGTCACCTCCCTTATAGGACAAAGGCCGAGACCTTCTGTCTTTCTTTTTTTTATTGACTGTGGGGCATTGTTCAGAATACACATTCCATACATATATTCAGAATTTATCGAAGATAGAGAAATACAAATCTCCTTAGAAGAATCATCAGTAGCACTCTGTGTGTGTGTGTGTGTGTGTGTGTGTGTGTACCAGCACTCAATATTCACAAATGCTTTCTCTCCAGAGTAGCAAGCTTCCGTCAGCCTACACATCCACCGCCAGTCTTCTCCCACCTGTTCAAACTGCTTACGTTGTCAATGCTGTTTGATCTTAGACTTGGAAAAACACGGCTAACCACTTTTCACATACATACATGCCAACATTATAGTGAAAAACTTAAATACCAACTCATGATCAAGGCTGACATAGATGCAAAAGTTGAACCTGCAGATGCTGAAAATAGAATTTGGTAAATGCCAAAAAGCAATATAGTTGAAAATGAAGGAGAAGGGGAAAAAACCTTGTTTAGAATGGAGAAATCTGAGAAAGATGAAAATGCATATGCGCTGGGACACGGAGAGGGAAAGGCCTGTGGGGCTGACTGAGAAAGCCTGACTTGGCCGAAATGAAGAAAAGCACAGTGATGGCCTCAACTCTCCGCCAGGAAATGGTGATGCCACCAGAAAACAGCACGGTCTTAGGGCTGAGGACAGGACTGCACTGGGGGAGGGGACAGCAGGGAAAAGAAGAATCACCTTGGTCTCAACTTATCAACCTTATGGCTGTCATCTCCTAAAGATTTATGAGAAGACACACTAGGCAACTTCTGGGGAGGGACAAGAACCTGACTGCCAGACTGCCGCGTGCCATGCGGCTCCTGCAGGAAGGGCAAAATGCAGCCAAGGATGAATATTTAGCCACATCGCATACATAGCAGTCTACATTCTATGTCTATCTACTAAGCTGCATGTAACGAACAATCGTGTACCCATTAACTACGTTCTTGAACTCAGCTTTGTTCTTCAAGACCTCGTCCCTTTTGCCTAGTAAGGAAGAATAGGCAAAGTATAAAAAAAAGAAGAGTTGCTGTCCTGAGATTGGCATCTTTTTTTTTTCTTAAAGGATAACCTTCCCACCTCACACAGAAACGGGCAGAACTCAGGTACCTTAGTACCTGGGACCCACTGGTCACATCATTCCAAAAAAGCAAAACACAGACAACACATCGTTACCGATAATTAGGTATTTCTACATAGAAGAAATATTTACAAAGCAATTAGAGCAGGCAACCAATCACATTCTTCTTTGCATATTAGATGATTAGATGACAATGAGAACATCTTTAATGAAGAGGAAAAATATTTCCCGCAGAGTTGAATGAATATAACTATTCACAGGAGGCTGTGAAGTCCACAACAGAATACGGCTGAGAAAAATGAAAAGGGAAATTATTAAGGGCCATCTCTGCTAAAGGAAGAGCCTACATTCATTTGAAAGGAAACAGACTGTCATCCAGCATCGCAGTATGCGGGGGACAGGGTGGGTTCAGATGTTGGCCCTCGTAATCTGTCTTCTCTCCTTGTATGGACCTAATAGGCTACAGTCCACCGGGGGCTTTCCAGAAGCTTGGAAGGTTCTCTTTAAACCACATGCTAAAATTAGAAACCTAGAAACCTACTAATGGTAAAGTAGCAGGCCTTTCATTTTAAAGCAAAAATTTGATATATGCATATCACTGCAGCCAAGGAAAATTAATTACATTTTCATAAAGTTGTACATACGACTTTTTAACCTTTTAAGCTATAGAACGTTTTTTTCCAAGGGACTAAAACAAATGATTTCCCCCAAGACTGTTTCTGAAAGTTCAAATCACAGGCTGGAGTGTCAACGTCACCTTCGATACACGCTTGCGCTTCCTTCAGCTTTGCATCTTTGGCCATAAATAAAAAGTGTGACAGCTGCCCAAAGCTCCTAATTTTAATTTGTGGTACAGAGAGAAATAGCAAAGGCTGTCCATTTTTATCAACTTCTTCTGATTTGGCTGTTGTTTCACTAAAAAATTTTAAAAAAATTGAAAGCTTAATGTTACCTGGATGCCAGTAATAGTTAAATTTAAGACATTTAGACCAATTATTCCTATGTCTCATTATAAAACACGGAAAATATAAATACCCCAGGTTAGAAGCTCATCTATTTTCCCACTTTCTTCCACACTCGGACATCTAAATCCCCAAACTTAACAGCAACAATAGTGTTTTAGGATAGAAAGGAAAGAAATTGGAAGCAATTTCTTGAATTCACAATTGAACTCAAATAAGCAGTTTTTGTTTTTGTTTTTCTACCAACGTGTTGGTCTCTGACATCTTTTTAAAAATCACCGGTTCTGCAGAACCATTCATGCTGGAGGGATTTCTAATGTTATTTCATTTATAAAATTTTTACACCACAGTAATTAGTGGTTAGGAATTTTCTTGGCTACACTATGTTTATGAATCAAAAAAGGCTATAAAAAAGGCAACTAAAGGCAAACTAGATCCTTTCTGTGGGTTATTTTCCCCCTGTAAACTCCCTAATTTGGTTTACCTTAGGATAATAAATAGTTTTCCTAAACAGGCTTTTCCTGATCAGAAATTATCATCTCCTAGATTTGTGTTTCTGTTCATTTTAATGATTTTTTTTAGGTTGCATTTAAAAAATATTAAGATGTTTTCATGGAAGTGTTATTTCTATAGATTCTATCACTTAGACCATTAAACTGTCTAGGCTTTTTTAAATTTTTTTTTTATTTTGCCAAATGTTTAGGTTACATAAATTGCCTTTGCCCTGCCCAAGTCAGATCTTCAAGTGCGTCCATCCCCCAGACGGTGCACACTGCACCCATTAGGTGTGAATACTCCCATCACCTCCTCCCCACTCCCACCTGCCCAACACTCGATGAATGTTAATACTATTCGTACATTTAAGTATTATCCAGGATAATAAAAGAGGTGCCAGATCACCATTGTTTTTTGTGGCTGAGTAGAACTCCATGGTGTACATATACCACATTTTATTAATCCATTCATGTATGGATGGGCACTTGGGTTGTTTCCAGATCTTTGCAATTGTGAGTTGTGCTGCTATAAACATTCAAGTGAAGATGTCTTTTTTATAGGATGTGTTTTGTTCCTTTGGGTAGATGCTGGATCAAATGGTAATTCTACTTGTAGCTTTTTGAGGTATCTCCATATTACTTTCCACAGACGTTGCACTAGTTTGCAGT